AGCTGCAACCCATACCTATGTCCTCAGAGTCTAAATCCACCACATTTTCTATTCCACCAAGCAGCCTCAGTCTGTTTTGGACTATTCTTTTCTGGAGCTCACGAGAGAGACCAGCTGGTGCCAGCACCAGAGAGGCTACAATTAGTAGTGATCATGAAGAAAAATTCAGTTATGAATTAATAAACTCATAGGGCCCTGTGACAATACTTAGTGTTCTCACTATTCCACGGCTCTGGGCTGCTGGGCTACCCCTAACAACTGTTTTCTTGTCCTGTTCATCATTATCTCCAAAGCTAACCTGACAGGATGATGGCATCTTTCTACAAAATTTACAATTAAAATAAACCCCAAACCAATAAACAAAAACTTTAATGTGCCCAGGAACAAGTAGCTATTTGCTTTGCTTCCCTTTCCTCCTTCTCGACTTCATCTATAATTATTCTTATACCATCATGAAGATTACCTTTCTCTCCTAGTTTACAGAAAAGAAAGGAGAAAAGGCAAATGGCTTATCAATAGACAACCAAGAATTAGTAAATGCCAGGGACCAGGTATACATTAGGATTTAAAGTTGCAGGGCCCAATCATTTGCAAATGATAAAAATTCACTGCATAAAAAATAAACCAGCTGTATTAATAATGGAAAGGCATTTAAATAAGAGACTACAATCCAACTTTCAAATGTTTTATTTTTAGTGTTTTTAAACATTTTAATACAACAAAGATATAAAATAATATATATTAGTTAAATCTGGATTTAATTTAGAATCAAGATATTTACTTATATACAACACTGTGCTTCAAGGTATGGCTACCACAGGAACTTTCACATCTTCAAGTAATACTAGTATCTCTGCAGATTGGGTGACATTTAGGTAGCATTCTTAAAACAAAACATGCCCACTTTAGCCCAAGCTAATTTTGCTTCCCCCATTAAGTACCAGTTTCCACTCCCTTTGTTTCATATCAGAAATACTTCAACTGTCTTAACAATCCATAGATTCTTTGAATAAAAAATTATTAAAATTAAGCATTTTAAAGATGATATTACTAACTGGTAACATTGCTTGGCTAGTTCAGACAACCCAGTAGTTCAGATTGAAACAGACCTGAAATAATAACAAAATTAACACAATATTCCTTCTCCTTCCATATTAGGAACAAAGCTTCCTTATGCTTAAACATGGAGTACACTGAATAAAAGTCCTTTGGTCAATTTAGGGTAGAACATATTCTAAAAAAACAACTTTTGGGGGAGGTGGATTATAGATTTCACAGATGTTTTCATTGAACTTGATGCAAAATAACTAGCCATATTTTAGTTACTTGAAATTGGTGGCATTTGCTGGGGGTGAGGGATAGGTGAGAGGGGAAACAAAACCTAATTCCATAGTAATTTCAGTCATTCAAAGCTACTCAAAGACAGAGAAAGAAAATACCCTCAACCTCCTTCCTTTCTCATCGCTCACCTGCAGCAGTCCGACTTTTGGTGTTATTAAGAATTTTCCTCTACAGCAGTGTGGGGTAATTCAGATTAAAACATTTTACAAATGCAAACTGTCTTAACTGCCAAAGTAAAGATGGCATTAAAGCTGACATGCTTTGTTGGCTCTGAAACTATCTGAATGAAAACAATACTGTTTAAGAAAGCCATGGGACTATTGTAAAAAAAGAGTTTTCCTGTCTCAAATGCCTGAATAACGTACAGAACTGACAAATGACTATTACCATAATTACTTTTAGTAAGGGGTAACTTAAGTCTACAAGAAGACTATCAAAGAATTAAATTTATTAGATTAGAGAGTTTAAAAAAAGAATATGGTTAATGTTCTCAAACATTATACAACAAGAATCCTTAAAAAAAAGTTTACTATGAAACTGATGATGAAATTACCTTTTACTAATACCATCAAAGCAGGTTAGTGTTATGATTATGACTTTGAATATATAAATAACACTTTCCAAACAGGTTTCCTTAGAACACATGGTTTCATACCAGCTATAAAAGGATGTGATGCCTCTGTCCTTATGATTTACAAAATTAGAAGATTTTTAGAATTCTAAGTAACAACACTCAGGCAGGTACAGGGTAGGGAAGAATGCCATGTGCAGTGTCAGAGTTACACTATCAGCAGGTCTCTAGTACGGGGTTCTTCCTGTGAACAGTCCACACTTATTTAACTGACTGGTTCCATGGCTAAGCTCATTGCTTTCTGATTTAAAGGGATACTAATAAATAGATCTACCATATGGAAGTTGTATTTTTATTCTAGCAATTCTGGTCACAGAGAACTATGGAGAAAATAGGCATGTTAAGAATTCTGCAGCCAAAAAAGGTTTCTCCCAAATTATCTGGTGATAATAGCAAACTTGCCTTCTTCTAAACCTGATTAGAAACTTCAGTTACCCTTCAGTAACGCTGCTCTTCATGGGATTAAAAAAAAAAAAAAAGAAAGGAAAAAACAAAAAAAAATAGGTAACGCTGCCCCTAGGAAGACAGAAATTGCATGGAGGACTTTCAATATAACCTCCAGTTTGCATCCCCAAACAAAAAACCTTGGTTCCTTCTATACTGAAATCTCAGTGTTTAATGATATAAGCCTCTCACATGTTTCCAACTGTAGACAAGGTAAAAAATATGTAGATCTAAGGCATGTAGCTTCTCTACCTAGCCATATTCACACCCAAAATGTATATCCTACCTTCACTATGGTTTTAACAAGAAAAAAAATACAAAGACAAAATCTGGAAATTTCTGGACAAAACAAAAAGCAACAAAACTATAGGTTTTGTATTAGAAAAAGAAATGGAAAAGAATTTTGTCTCAAAGTTTTCCAAGGAAGAGACCTGGAGATGATTAATATATGTAAACAATGCCCTGTAATAGTTATAACAATAAATTATAAATCTAGCTTACCTTTTCCTCAAAACAGATATGATAAATGTAAGTGTGGGAAGTTATTCTACAATCCTCATTGCAGTCTGCTATTAGGCACTCTCAGTATCAAGAAGTCTGCAAAGTTAGTTGCAATTTTTTTTTCTATTTTGTTCTAGAATAAAATCCATACGAAGGAAAGAAGACTGATGTTAGGAAATTTACCATTAAGTACCTATTCAACATTCTTGACTTAATGTTGCCATAGATTTTTTTTCAAACATTTTCCCAAAAGCCAACGCCAGTCCCTCCCTAGCTAAATTCAGTCCTCTTCTGTCATCTGGAAAAAAATGGGAGTTACATATCTTTTGACCTCAAGGGTCAAAGACTCTAAGTGCATAGGAAACATCCTTCACCCTTCATGATTATGCAATTTCCTTAGATGAAATGTTGGCATTTTCATCCCCAGCATGTAAAAGAATCAACAATTACTGAAGATGTTACCAGATTCTAAAGTATGAGATTTAAAAGCATAATAAAACTTAAATTGCCTTGTGCCATTTTCTCAAGTGAAAAATAAAAAATAATGTTCAGAGTACACCCAAATTGGGATCACTCAGCACTAGCTGCAACTTGTTTGCATTATATTTGTTTCCTGCCCAATCCATTCAGGCTCCTCTGTAGCTTATATGGGGTAGGAATATGACTCAAAAGTGCAAAAATAAAATATTTCACCATTTAAGGAGCAGGTTTCTGCTAAGTGGCCTAATTTTAGACCTCAATATGCCAGCATCTTTTTAACTCCTTGTTTTAAAACAGAATGTAAAAGCTACACAGTTAATATTTCAAGTGGCTAAGCTCATCAGCTGGGGTTCAAAGCCTAATTCTAGAACCAACCTACTCTCAAAACTACTGTACAAAATCATTAAAAGTAAAGTGACAAATGTAACCACAAAGGTCAAATTACTTAAGGTACTAAATTTCTAGTGCTGTAAACAGCAACTAAGTTATATCACTCCTGACTGCCAAATTAAAACTAAATAGAAAGAATGTATGTACACAATTGTTTTAAAAATAAAAAACAACAAAACCTTTTCATATCCAAATATGTCTGAGATGGCTTAGTTCTGATGGCCAAGAATGAGAAATTTCAAAAACCAAAAAGTTACACAATGCCTGCAACCTGTTATAAACTTCAGAAAGAGAAAAATTTGCATGCATACCTCCCTACTTAAGGACACAGAACTTTAACATCTGATAAAACACTCCATTATTTTGCTCATTAAATAACACCGTTAAAAAGCATAAAATTGGGCTGTCATCTGTCTAGCTAATAGTCACAGCACAAAGTTATTCCAGGTACTTTCATCACTAAAATTAAGCCAATTTTATTTTTATGGATGCAGCCATTTTCCCCTCATGCATACTTACTGATGATCATACCGAACCCTCAGAACAAAATAGGAACTGCACCTTTTGTTGATTTTGGTGAAAAATACCAGCACTATATTTGTACTCTGTCACCTTATGTATGGCCCCTTTCATTCTCTTCTTGTTTCAGGGATCCTGGTATATTCAGTATACTTTTCTTAAGGATGGTTCAGAAGGCAAAAATTAATTTGTTAGTAAAAAGGATCACTTTCCAGAGTAGCGTTTTTTAGAAAGACACAGAGATTAGTTCAAAGAACAAGTACTGCTCACTTGGTAGGGGTTTTTCGTTTGAAGAAAATAAGGAGCTTAAAAAATTATTATTATTATTTCTTGACTAGAGTCCTACTGGAAATAAAAAAAAAATCTTTCAACCAGCAAATTGCTTAAGTTGATTTGCTTAAGCTCAATAGGTAAAGGTAAGAGACTGACTTCAATCATAACATTAAGTCTGCCTAAAGAGAAGGGGCAGAAGACATCTACTTAAGCTTTCTGTTCAAACAGATACCTAAGGACTCTTAATTATTCTTTCTTGCTTGCTATAATCACAGCCTTGCTCAGGACAGGGAACTTTACTTTGTCAACATACAGGCCAAAAAGCAAGACATCCAGGAACAACCTAGGGGGAGAAAGCAAAGTTACTCACTTTCAACAACGACTGTATATTTAATCATGAACACATTACAAAGACAGTCTTCATCCAATTAGTCTTTTCATTATTGCTGGTTTTGAAAATGGCCAACAATATTCATTTGGGACTGTACCATTAACATTGCATTCAAAAAAAGAAAACATGGGAAACCAAATTCTTGCTCTCCTACTCTGCTGATATGCTCTGGTATTGGCTAGAGTATGGTAGTACAAAAAGAGTCTCGTTGTGATATAAAAGGCAATAAACACATCAATGGAATAATGTTCATGGGCAGCCAAAATGAAGAAGATTCCAAAGAGGTTGAGAACCCAGGATAAAGTGTGCAAGAAATTCCAGCTTCTTGGTGTATCTGGGAAAAGGACAGAAAGATCATTTTAAAACCACACTTCTTCCAGTGTTTCTCAGTCATATGTTTCTTACATCAGTCTGTTTCTCCCATTCTTCACAGAATTTGATGCCCTTCCCACAGCCTCCTCTGCAGCTAGTTAGTTGATAGGCATAGAAGCACTAAAGATACTTACATTCAGTGACAAAGAAATTCAGCATAGTTAGGACGACTGTGTGGCCACTGAACATGTAATCTCCACAAGTGTGAACGCCAGTTAGGGTCATACCAAAGCCACTCCAAATGGCAAAGGCCCGGTGTAATTTCTCCCACACACTGCCATATACCTATAAAGAAAGCTAAGAATTAGTGCTTCAAATGCTTAGGGCAGCAGAGGCTCCTACCACTCCCATTGAAATTCAAAGGCTGAATGACTTAGAAATAAGATCTAAGCAAAAGCAACCAGACTCCCAGTCTAATTAATTCCAGACACCAAGAATGGGTGGTCAAAGCTTGTCTGTACTCAGAACTATTTTGGTAATTTAATGAAATCAATGCAATTCAAACTTCTCTACTTGGAGTTCCTTTATAATGAAAAGGTTACTACAACACAAAACTATTTCCAAGTTTTATACCCTATAATACAGTAGTATTTGCTTGGCTGTTCTTGTCAATAAGAAACAGGCTATGACAGTGACAATGGCTACCATTCAATATCCACTCTCCCTTCTTCACTGGTAATAGAATCTAAAATATATTTGAAGAGGCAATGAACTCAACTAAAACATTGCATTTCCCACCCTCCCTTGCAGCTAGGTGTCGCTACGTGACTAAGTTCTGTACAATAAGATGTAAGTGGAAGTGTAAAAGATTTCTGGGAACGCTACTTATAAACGAAAGAGACAACAGCTTGGAGGAAGTCTTTTCTACCTTTCCTTCTTCTAGCCTACAACTCAGACATGATAGCTAAAGCTCTAGTAGTCATCTTGGACCACAAAGTGGCTTTGAGGATGCAAGCCAAGTGTTAGGACAGGAGAGCAGAAAGAAGAATCATGGATTTTTGATGACTCCATAAATTTATCACACTTGACCTGGATGGAGTACCTACTTTCAGACTTATGAGAGAGAATAAATCATTGCTTGTTTATTAAACTATAGCCACCACGAAGTTCCTGTTATTAGTAGCCAAACCTAATCCCAACTCCCACGCATAAACTTAAAAAAGTCATCCATTTTGAGGAAGAGTTTGAGCAATGGTCACGTTTTTTAAAAAGGCATTTAACACAAAATAATATAAAAAACTGCTGCAATTTTATGTGCATTTACTACGTGCAGCATGCTGCTATATGCTTTTATGTCATTGCATTTAATTTCCACAAAAATCCTATGAACTGATTCAACTGTGCAGATGAGGAAATTGGCTTTAGAGAGGTCACACAGCTAGTAAGTAACATAATAATAAGAGGTCACACAGCTAGTAAGTAACGTAATAAGGATGTGAACACAGGGCATCCAATTCCAAAGCCCTATGTCTTAAAGAACAAAAGAAACAATCTAATGAAATATCACTATTTCATTAGAAACCTCACCTGATTATACACTACCCAGGCTTTCCCTTTCTGCCTCAGTTGATGGTAGGGAGAGAAATTCATTATTAGAGAAAAGGAAAGGGAAGGTACTAAAATATACATGGTTTGGTTCTTTCCATGACCTCTAATGAGAATAGGGTTAGAGATGTTACACTCGTAAAAGTAAAAAATCAGGCAGAGAAGAACAGAGATTGCTAGGAAAATGTCTCAGCCAAGGACAGGAAACAAGTGATGTCACGCAAAAGAAAGCAATAATTACAACACTGTAAATCAACTATACTCCAGTAAAAATTTTAAAAAAAATACTGTATCACAAAAAAAAAGGAAAGCAATTATTCCCAATTACTCAAGTCTCCCCATCCTTTCCAAGCTTAAAATGTCCCAAATATCCTTCCAGAAAAATAAAAATTGAAACACAGCACAACAGAATGAATTTAGACACTTTGATGAGAAATTTGCTTTAAGTGTTTCTTTTCTTAAGGTGGTTCCATTGTCTAATTTCAAAAACAGGCATGTTCTTGGTTCTGTCTCCAAACCTACTACTTCTGGGAGTGAGATTTCAAGCAATTACTTTATTACAATGAAAATGCCCTACGGAGTTCACTGTAAGGGATTTGATTGCTAGTTAATATCACCTTAACTATCTAATTTTAATGACTGCTGCAAATACAGGTCAGTAAGTAGGTTATATTATAATTCAAAGTAATTAACAGTATTTAGGACAGATTTGAATAAATATGTCCACATAAAACTAACTGATAATAAAAAACAGTCATTAGAGACAGAAAAAGGGCTGTCCATACTGTAGCGGGATGGTATCTAATTTATTTATTTATTATAAATTTATTTATTTATTATTTTTGGCTATGATGGGTCTTCGTTGCCGCGCACGGGCTTTCTCTAGTTGCAGGGAGCGGGGCCTACTCTTCGTTGCGGTGCGCGGGCTTCTCATGTTGCAGAGCACGGGCTTTAGGTGTGCAGGCTCAGTAGTTGCAGCACACGGGCTCAGTAGTTGTGGTGCACTGGACTTAGTTGCTCTGCAGCATGTGGGATCTTCCCAGATCAGAGCTCGAACCCGTGTCCCTTGCATTGGCAGGCGGGTTCTTAATCACTGCACCACCAGGGAAGTCCCTAATTTATTTTTGTAGCACATGTTGCAGCCCTATGCACATATATTTTCCTCTTTAGTGGCTGATCCACAATCAAATCCCTCAGCTACAGGAAATTCTCTTTTCATTATAATAAGCTTACGTATTTCTTCTTAAATCTCTTCTAATCAACTAGCATACTACAATAATTGGGGGTAACTGTTCTATCCCTCCTTCACACCATGCACAGAAATTCAATAGATTTGCTAACTAAAGAATGTCACTTGCCACCTGGTTCTACAGGAATTAAGTCATTAGCCACTGCAGTCGCTGACCTTCAACATACCCTGAAAAGACTTCAGGACACAGTCAGGAATAAGGCACTCTATGCTCTGTGAAAGCTGACAGAAAAGGCCTTCAGGATAGTTAGATTTTTTCAGGAGAAAATTTTATGAACCCAATTTCTTGCATCTTCCCATACTTAGAAAAGCACTAAAATCATTAACTAAGACATTTGTTCCTCATGACTAGCAGCAACCTTCTACCAAGATGTGTGGCTTGATTACACATACACCTTCCCCAAGATCACATATATGCTAACCTTCTCCCTTACGTCTTCAGCGTAGTTCCTCAGAGCTAACTGAGAAGCTGTCTCCTGGGCTATAGTCCTCAGTAAGTCTCGAAATAAACTCACAGCTCTCACGTTGTGCATTTTTATTTCAGTCGACAGATTAAAGACTTAAATTTAAAATATAAGATCATAAAAGTCTCAGATAAAATCTTTCATTAATCAGAATGGCAGTGACTCCAAAAATTGTGCTGGCATGGTGATGGGAAAACTGACATGCACATAGTGGTGAAAGTAGTGAAAAACTAGTCTTTCCTAGTGAAAATGTGAGCAATATGTATCACAATTTTCAGTGTGTATGTTCTTTAATTTCCTAACTCCACTTCCAGGAATTTATCTTAAGACGATTAAATAAGTGAAAAACCATAAATGTACAAGGATGTTTATGACAGCATTGTTTATAAATAGTAAGATTTGAAAATAACTTAAATGTACATCATTTGGAGACTGGTAAATTGTACAATGGAATACTCTGCAGCTATTAAAAAGGATGAGGTATAGCTATACATATCTCTTCAGAAGAAAGTAAACAACATACTATTAAATGAAATATAAGCTAAAGTACAATGTTTGCAATAAAATCCTATTTTCTGTTTAAAAAGTATCTATATAAACTTGTATGAATATGTAAGCATGGTTAAAAATAGTCCATGTGGGGCTTCCCTGGTGGCGCAGTGCTTGAGAGTCCGCCTGCCGATGCAGGAGACGCGGGTTCGTGCCCTGTTTCGGGAAGATCCCACATGCCGCGGAGCGGCTGGGCCCGTGAGCCATGGCCACTGAGCCTGCGCGTCCGGAGCCTGTGCTCCGCAAATGGGAGAGGCCACAACAGTGAGAGGCCCGCATAACGCAAGAAAAAAAAAAAGAAAAAAAAAAAAATAGTCCATGTGGTATATACACAACTATTAACAGTATTATTTATGGGGTGGGGTGAAAGAAGTGGGAATTTTGTGAGATTTCACTTTTTAATTTATATATTTCTATAAAATTTGAATTTTTACAATAAGTTTATATAACTGTAACTAGAAAGAAGTACTTTCCCTTTTTGGAAAAGAAAAAAAGAAGAAACAAAAACAGCTTTTATCTTAAAAATAAAACATTTCCTTTACACTAAATCCTAAATGTCATTAACCCTTCCTCCTTTCTTACTAGTCAGTCTCCTTATACCTGGAGAACGTTTGGTCACTCTGCAGCTCAGGACTGTATTTTTAGTTCCTGATCTCCTTTGGCTGCTTAATCTTCCCTTGCAGGTATTTCAGCTATTTATATTGCAGTAGAAGAACAGACACTTAATTTTGTTTTACACTTTACAAACAACATTAAAATAACAAAGGTGTTAATACATCACTTGAATATTTGGGAATATAACTAAAGCATGGAGTCTTAGAAAAGTAGGCTAATAAATTCTCTTGTCCAAATTTAATGAGTCACAACAGCCAATTTTATATATAAAGCACAGGTGATCTTCAGGGTTTTTAAACATTTTATTTTTTACAGTAATTCATTACCCTGTTTTTTTTTGTTCCCATCTGCATAATCTATCATCTCTCAATTTAACCAGAAGAGAAAGTATGTCTACAGTATACCAAAACAAGCAACAAAGTATAAAACAAAAACAAAAGTTGGCCATTATTTAAATATATCTCAGAAAGAGTAAAGTTTAGAGTAGTGGGTACTACATTTTAAATGGAATATGGTCCAACTGCAACACTTTTTAAAGAGTGATGAGGACAGGGAAGGGGCCAGAGTCACGTCATATGAGGAACTAAAGATGTTGAGGATGGTGAGAAAGGGAAAATGATAATCGAAAGTTACTTTTTTTCTATAGCTCTACAGCATTGAACTAGTTAGTATCAATGGATAGAAGTAACAGGAAGGTAGATTCTGGCTTAAGATTTTTACCAAATTATTTCTAGAGGTTTATTACAGATATTGAAAATGCTGAAAAGCACATTTTAATGTTAAAAGCAAAGCCTTAGCCTTAGTTCGTATATGGTGCCATCAACACACCAAGAATAAGAGGAAAGAATGATAAAGAAGACAGTAGGCTACCTTTCCAGTACACTGTAGGTGCTGTCCTGGCACGGAGAGGGAGGTCACAAACATGGTAAAGCAGCGAAGCAAGAATACAGTGCCCATCAGACTACAAAGCCTTCGCAGAAGTATTGACCTGTGAACAGTGACCAAAAAGGGAGAAAGATCAGAAGAAAACAAACCAAAATACCTCAGGCATCTAGTGTTTACTCAAAGGGAGAACAAGCAGGAAAACCATTAGATTCTTTGAAGAGGACAGAAATCTTAGAGACCATCTAAAGCACTGTCCAACAGGATGGTGGAAATGGACTATAACTGAACTGTCCAATAAGCTATATACATGTGGCTCTTGAGCATTTGAAATGTACAAGTGAGGAACTGAATTTTAATTTTATTTCATTTTCACTAAATTAAATTTAGCCACACGTGACTAGCACCTGCCATGCTGGACAGTGCAGACCTAAGAGCATCATTTCACTGTTAAGAAAATATGGCTAAGAGAAAGTAAGAGTTATGCAAGGGAGAAGCAAGATAGTACTTAGACTGACTCTTAGCTTAGTGTTAGTTTTATTACTCATATATTGTCATAACTTATTTAATGAGAAGTAAAGTTAAATATGTGATTTTAGGGAATTTTTTTGCTCATTAATGACACTGTAAATTGGTTGACTGCAATTATATAATAAACAATCTTTAATTTCTCTTAAATTTAAGCTATAAAATACTGTTTCTTTTTAATACTAAGTTTTACATTAAGTATATCTCTAACAATTTTTTTTAATGTCTTAAACCAAAACAGACTATATGATTCTTAAGTACAGAGACTTTACTTAAACATTTTTGAAATGCTCCTCCCACCCTCAAAAAAAAGTACTCAACACAAGGTTAGGTAAGTTTCAAACTTCAGTGTGTACACCTGGGATGGAGCTCAGGAATCTGCATTTTATTATTTTTTAATTTTTTTCACTTCAAATATACTTCTGTTTTATTTTCTTTCTCCTCTCCTCAAGGAACTCTAATTATCTATATGGTAAACCTTCTTCAGGCTATCCCCTCAGTGTCCCCAAATATTTCATCTATTTTCTATCTTTAAAAAGTTTTTTTTCTTCAAATTATCTTCTGATTCATTAATTTTCTCTTCTGCTGGATTCAACCTGATGTCATACTCATTACTGAATTCTCAATTTCAGAGATTTTAAAAAATGTGTTTACTTCTAGAGTTTCCATTTCATTCTCTGTTAAAATTATCTTGAACACAGTCAGCAGAGTTACTTTAAAATCTGTATCTGCTACCTCCATTTTCTGGATCCACAGTGGGTCTATTCCATTATTTATTGTTTCTCTTAAATTTTGATCATATTCTCTTACATACTTATGTACCCCTTTATTAGTTATTTACTTGAGTGCCAGATATTGTATGTAAAAAATTTTAGAATTAAATTTAGGCCTATATTATCTTCCCAAAGAGAGACTTGATATCTCTTTTGGCAAGTGGTTATGGGCTTTAACAATCTGGGGTCACTTTAATGCAATTTTAGAAACTGAAATTATTTCAAGCTAGGTTTCAGTCCCTGCAGGGTTTCTTTCATTTATGGTTCACTACCAGTTCTAGAGTGTAGCAGTGGTAATGTAAAAAAAGAAGAAAAGAAGGTAAGAAAGAGAAAAAGTAACACTGAATGGAGAGGGTCCCAAACCGAGGATTCTACCACTTCTCACCTTTCTTAATAGCCCTGCTCTCCAGGAGCCTAAATTGAATATACTGTCATCCAGAGAAGAATTAAATTCGTTTCTTCTGAGACCCAGTTAGCACTACTGACTTGAGAACACTCTAGCCCATTCCAAAATCCACAGCTTAATCTGGGAGTCTTGGTATCAGCTGCTCAACTTTGTTACATACCTAAGGCTTAGTCTCCTTATCTTAGCTCTGGCATTAGAACCAGTGGAATGCTTTTTCAGAGATGCTTACTCATTCCTCTGATTGTACACCACAGATTATTTTTTCTGTGTTTTCTTTTTCATGTGTTTGTGTGTCTGGGGCTCTTGAAGATTTTCCTTTCTTCCTGCAAGTTCAGTGATGCAATCCTTTCTTAACACAGGATTTATGGTGAATCTTCTTACCATATGGTGGAAAGTCCAGAGCAAAAGTCTCTGCCTTCTTTTTTCCACGCCATCATTTTGTGAGCTTTTTGAGGAAGACAACATGGAATCTGAATTTTAACAAGAGCCCAGGTGATTCTAGAAAGTGCTACAAAGACCACACTTTGAGAAACACTTTGACTAATTAAATATCAAAACTTGCATTTAGCTGGTCACTGCTACACTGTGCTAAACCTACCAAGGTTTCCTATATAAGGTAAACTCTTTCTTGTTTTGAAGAGTGGATAAATTCAGATCTATAGGGTCTTGTGAGGCAAAGTTAAACCAGAAAGCAGCAGTGATACATGTGGGGTTTTTTTGGGTTTTTTTGCGGTATGCGGGCCTCTCACTGTTGCGGCCTCTCCCATTGTGCAGCACAGGCTCCGGACGCGCAGGCTCAGCGGCCATGGCTCACGGGCCCAGCCGCTCTGCAGCACGTGGGATCCTCCTGGACCGGGGCACAAACCCGTGTCCCCTGCATTGGCAGGCGGACTCTCAAACACTGCACCACCAGGGAAGCCCAGATACATGTGTTTTTAAACCACCTCTGGTTTTAAGCAATCCAGTTATAAATATTGTTGCAAAGTGAGAGAGAATGAAGTGCAATATGGCCTACAAGTGTGACAAGAATAGCAATCATCAGCGCTTCTTTTCACCTTCAAAGCACTGAAATAACTGCTGCTTAGGACCTAAAGCTCATCACTGTAGTTTACCTCAACCATTCCCTGGTGAGGAGAAAGAATAAAAAATTCACGAAAGTGTCCCTGTTCCTCTTCAGTGTCCAAAGACAATGGATAGCAGACCCACAACTTTATCAGATCTTTTTTTCTTCACTATGCCTTTTTTTTTTTAGTTGAAGAATGGTTGATTTACAATATTGTGTTAGTTTCAGGTGTACAGCAAAGTGATACAGTTATATACATATTTATATATATACACACATATATATTTCAGATTATTTTCCAATATAGGTTATTGTAAGATACTGAATATAGTTCCCTTCTATACAGTAAATCTTTGTTGTTTGTCTATTTTATATACAGTAGTATGTCTCTGTTAATCCCATACTCCTAATTTATCCCTCCCCCCCTACTTCCCCTTTGGTAACCATAAGTTTGTTTTCTATGTCTGTGAGTCTGCTTTTCTTTTGTAAATAAATGCATTTGTATTACTCTTTAGATTCCACACTATGTTTATTTTTTTCCTTAAATAATTTCCCCTCATTAAAGTAGGGAAGTAGCCTCCACTTATGCTTCTCTCCTTTTTTTTAATGCAAAAAACTTCTTCCCTTTATATCTCTTGTGAAAGCACAAAAGAAGCACCTTCCCTATTCAGCAATTTTCTATACCATCTGAAGTAAACTACACTTGCTAGATGTGCACGGTGTGCAAAATGACCTCTTTTTTAATGCACCTCCTCCAAGCAGAGAATAATTTCTTCCACCCAAACATCTGACCAAAGACTGTCCCTTGGAGGAGTTTCTAGCCTTCTATAGAAAGTGACATTTCCGATTTGTTTCCAAAGAAAGGCAAGGCTAGACTTAGATTGTCGTGGTTGGCCCATGGCTGAATATCGCCATCTCTAATCCTTCCCTGCAAAATACCTTCAGAATATTACTAAATATGTAGGTACTACCTCAGGCTGACTCTTTTGTTGATCAAACCCAAACATTTTCCTATGTCAGTAATTATAATGTCACAATGACTAGAGAAGGAAAGTAACAAGGAAACAGCAAAGGAAGAAACAAGGTTTGATGATCTTTGCATAAGACAGTCAAAACACTTTCAGTCTTTTAATGGAATAAGACAGGTACCTGTGCTTGTGAAGAAGAAGAACCAGGAGCCAAATATAGCACAGAATCATGCCACATACTTCTGTCATGGCAAAGGCCCATGGAATTCTAGGAACGCTGGAACAGAAAAAAATTTAAATTTTGGACTGACAAGAAGTATATGTATGTAAATGGCGCCACCCTGTAAGATACTCTGCTAATAATGACCTTAAAATTGTTTTCTTTAACTTTTTTAAAAAATTAATTAATTTTTGGCTGTGTTGGGTCTTGGTTGCTGCATGCAGGCTTTCTCTAGTTGCGGCGAGCGGGGGCTACTCTTTGTTATGGTGCGCGGGCTTCTCATTGCGGTGGCTTCTCTTGTTGGGGAGCACTGGCTCTAGGCACTCAGGCTTCAGTGGTTGTGGCACACGGGCTCAGTAGTTGTGGCTCGCGGGCTCTAGAGCGCGGGCTCAGTAGTTGTGGAGCACAGGCTTAGTTGCTCCACGGCATGTGGGATCTTCCTGGACTAGGGATCGAACCCATGTCCCCTGCACTTTCAGGCAGATTCTTAACCACTGCGCCACCAGGGAAGTCCCTGTTTTCTTTAACTTCTACCTCTTTTAGAAGATGATATCTGGAGAACCTGGGGAAAAAAACTGTTTCATAAAGTACCTCATTTACCAGGACCTCTTTGTTGTTTGTGATTCCCAGTCATGGTTCTCTGTAAAGAAATAACTTTTTTCTCCTTTCCCATAGCATGGCAGACCTGTATACAGGACTGCCCCCAAAAGACAGGGGGAAAAAGGCTCACTTCTTAAATGGTGTGCTCATTTCAGAATCCAGACAGTCAGGGCTTGAACTCAACTACTCTGTTTTTTAGTATATTTTGTTTTCAAGCAAGTAAACAGAGTTTTTATTTTGTTTTACTCCTTTCTTTCTCTCTCTGCCCTCCTTTGTTTGTTTGTTTGTTTTTCTTCTGTATGCGAGCCTCTCACTGTTGTGGCCTCTCCCGTTGCGGAGCACAGGCTCCGGACGCACAGGCTCAGCGGCCATGGCTCACGGCCCCAGCCGCTCCGCGGCATGTGGGATCCTCCCGGACCGGAGCATGAACCCATGTCCCCTGCATCAGCAGGCAGACTCTCAACCACTGTGCCACCAGGGAAGCCCCCTCCTTTGTTTTTTTTTTTGTTTTTTTTTTTTTCTTGCGTTATGCGGGCCTCTCACTGTTGTGGCCTCTCCCATTTGCGGAGCACAGGCTCCGGACGCGCAGGCTCAGCGGCCATGGCTCACGGGCCCAGCCGCTCCGCGGCATGCGGGATCTTCCCGAAACGGGGCACGAACCCGCGTCTCCTGCATCGGCAGGCGGACTCTCAAGCACTGCGCCACCAGGGAAGCCCCCCTCCTTTGTTTTATATGTGTTTTCTTCTACCTTTTCCATTGTTGTCTTTCCTCACCAAATCCACAGCTCCTGTGATTACCCACTAGTAAAAGACATGTCACATTCTCAATTAAAAAGAAAGAAAGAAGGGGGCAGGGAGAAGAAGAAGATGAAGGAAAAGAAGAAGGAAGAAGAAGGAAGAAGAAGGAAGGAAAAGGAGAAAAGGAGGAGGACAGTGTGGGAGGGAGGAGATGGAAATGAATTAGTCCAAATAGGTCATCTCTGGGTGGTAAGATTATTGATAGTTTTATTTTTATTCTTTGTAAATTTACACTAAAAATTTTTATACAATGGCATGTTAATTTTATAACTAAGGAAATAAAGGTATTTTTAAAAAGAAGACATGAAGTCTGAAAGATATTAACAGTCTACTCCAAACCTTATTCAGAGTAACTAAAGAGAGTCAATCGTCTTCATTCAGGGACTCATCTTTTACCTATTACCTCAGAAAATAAAGACTCCTCTTGAGAATTTTTAATCTACTGCTGCCTTATTTATCTGGCATTATGGGGGAAAGGGTTAGTTCACATAATAGAAATTTTCAGATAAAAGATCCCTTTCAATGACTTCTAAAAATTTAAACTTTTTAAATGAACATTAAAAAAACCTATATATGTATGTATGTGTACATGTGCATATGTATACATGTGTATATACATATGTATATATTTTAAATAGTTTTACAGTGTTTATGGTAAAAGTAAGTTTTCTGCCCTACCCCAGCCTAAACCTAATTCTTACTCTCCAGAGGCAGTCACTTTCATTCTTCTGTTTTATTTGACGTTATACCTTCTAGTCACACACACAAAAACACATACACACACATACACACACTCTCTCTCTCTCTCCCATGCTCTCAATATTATTTCATAATTTTGTTTAAAATAATTTTTGGCTTTTACTTGATGGAAATGTTTAAGTATAGTTCATAGCTAAGACAATGGAACGCAAAGATTAAATCTCTTTCTCGTACAACTTCTTACAATTCTCCAGAGCTAATAACTTAAAAAAAAAAAAAAAGTTTGTTCTGTTTCTTGTGTGCCTATCACCAATTCATCTTCAGACTATTCTATCAATTTCAATGTTTCCTTTGGAGAAATCTCTCCTAGAGCTCCTTCTTTAGAAAGGCTGCATTTTCTAGTCCCTCCTGCATGGCTATTTCTTGGAATAAAACTTAACCCTTATCTTGGGAATTTCTCTTTTCTATACTGGATCCTCTGTTTCCTGAATCCCATGTCCTCCTCTTTGTCAGTTTACTCCTTAGTTTTGATGTAATGTATCCTTGAATTATTTTCTCAGAGGAGGGATGGAGGATAAACTCGCTTTTTATGTCAGATTTACTGAGGTTTAATTTACAAACAGAAAAATTCACCATTTTTAGCTATACAGTTCAAAGAGTTTTGACAAACACATTCAGTCATGTAATCACCACCGCAATAAAGACAACATTTTCATCACTCCAAAAAGTTTCCTTGTGTTCCTTTGTAGTCAATTCCCTTCCTCACTTCCAGCTGTGGGGCTACCACTGACCTGATTTCTTATTCCTATAGGTTTGCCTTTTCTAGAATGGCATATAAATGCAATCACACAGTACTTGTCCAAATACCTTTTGTATCTGGCTATTTTCACTTAGCATAATATGTTTCAGATGCATCCATGTTATTGCATGTACAATTAATTCTTATCTATTCTTTGTCTACAATTTCCATATCCATTCACAGGTTGATGGGTATTCTGGGCTATTTCCAGGTTTGGGTGATTATGAATAAAGACCACATACAGGTCTTTGCATGGACGTATGTTTTCATTTTTCTTGGGTAAATACCTAGGAATAAAACTGTTGAGTCCTATGTTAAGTTTATGTTTAACTTAAAAATCTATCAAACTGTTTTCAAAGCAGTTGTACCATTTTGCATTTCTACCAGCAAAGTATGAGAGCATCAGTTGCTCTGAATCCTTGTCAGGCCTTGTCATTAGCAATTTTTTTCATTTTAGCAATTCTAGTAGCTGTGGGGTTGGAGAGTAAATTTTTTTGAGACTTGCAAATTTTAAAATACCCTTGGGTCTAGCCTTATGTCTATTTGGTAGCTTGCCTAGGCAGAACATTTTAGGTTAGACATTATTTTGTCTCAGAATGTTAGAGGCATTTATTCCACTGTCATCTCACTTCCACAGTTGCTAAGAAGTGTGATGCTATTTGGATTTCCAATCTTTGTGTGTTACTTGTTTTGTCTCTTAAGAAGCTTTTAGAATCTTCTGTCTATACCTAGTGTTCTGAAATTTTTCAGTTCTTGTACTGGGTGCTCTTTCAATCCAGGAAGTCACATTCTTTGACTCTGAGAAATTTCCTTTTACTATAGCTTAGATAATATCTTCCTCTTCATTTTCTCTATGTTCTTCCTAAAACCCCTATTTTTTCCACTGCTGGGCCAATTGGATTCATCTTACTTTTTCTCCTCTACTTCTTATCTCTGCTCTACATGCTGGGCAATTTCATCAAATCCATGTTCCAATTATCCTACTGGATTTTTTTTTTAAATTTATTTTTGGCCGTGTTGGGTCTTCGTTTCTGTGCGAGGGCTTTCTCTAGTTGCGGCGAGTGGGGGCCACTCCTCATCGCGGTGCGCGGGCCTCTCACTATCGCGGCCTCTCTTGTTGCGGAGCACAGGCTCCAGATGCGCAGGCTCAGTAATTGTGGCTCACAGGCCCAGTTGCTCTGTGGCATGTGGGATCTTCCCAGACCAGGGCTCGAACCCGTGTCCCCTGCAATGGCAGGCAGATTCTCAACCACTGCGCCACCAGGGAAGCCCATCCTGCTGGATTTTAAATTTCTACTTTCATTTCTAATTTTTCAAAAGTTTTCTCTGAATTTTCCTTTTTCATAGTCTACTGTTACTGTCTCATAGAATGCAATATCTCTTATCTGTGAGTATATGAATGGTTATTATTTTTTTTGAAGTGTTCTTCTGCTCCCTATTTTGTGTTTCCCAGTTTGCTTTTTTTCTATTTGCATTGATCTGTTTTCCTCAAATGTCTGGTGATTCTTGACTGACCGTTCATATTTGACAGGGAAGTATTAAAAAAAATAAATAATGTGATGCTCTGTGTGCATGGACTGAGGTTGTGAAGTATGGGTTTCACTGTGATAGAACAGAGGTCTAGTTGATGAGGCAGGGATATCTCTCTTACCACAGTATCTATAGTCCTTTTCTCTTGTGCAGGTTTTCCAAGGAGAGGAATCTGTTCTCCTGCTTGGAAGACTGGGGCTGGGTATGACTGGGGCTGGGAAGTTAAGTCTGGTTACTTAAGGAAGGGAGCTGGAAGTCTCTGTGATCTAGATTTACAGTTAATCAATTTAATTACATTAAATCAGTTAATTTACAGTTAATCACAGAAAATACAATGAAAACAGGCACCTTTGTTCTCATCTGGGCATGGTGTACCCGAGTCCAGAGTCCCTCACATTCAACTACTCTGGAGAACAAACCACCTGTCTTCTGTTGCAGTAGAACAGGTCTTAAATTGATTTTCAACCAGTTCTCCCATATTTAGCTCCTATCTATACCCAGTCTTGAGAGATGTTTGATGCCTCCTGTTTTGAGAGTTTTTCTGGAGTACTGCAGTACAAATAAACTCACCTCTTGGGCACCACTAGTCCCCACTCCCAACCTCCCAAGAGACACTTAGCTTTCTACTTTCC